TATATATATATATATATATATATATATATATATATATATATATATATTAGTATTACTTAAGGTCTTCAGCAAATTTTACCTGCCTGGAAAATTCCCTCAGTGGGAAATGGAGGAATAACAATTTTAGCCATCACTCCATTATAGTACACAAAATTGTACTGCCATGGTTTATATGAGGTTTCTGTGGTCAGAGAATTTGTAAATTCTTCTAAGGAATGGAAATGAAACACTCTGCTGATATACATCTACTTCAAATGCATTAAATTGCAGATGGAATGAAGCAGTGATCCCAACGGTGAGACAGAGAGAGGGAGAGAGAGAGAGAGAGGGAGAGAGAGAAGGAGAGAGAGAGAGAGAGAGGGAGGGAGAGACCCGGGAGACAATGAGACCTAGCCGGTTGTGTTAGCGGCATGCTGCTTCAGACTGGACTGTGCACTCATTGCATCAAATTGAGATTATTCAAAGCCAGGGTAGAAATTCTGCCAGATCATTTTTTCATTTTAAAATCAAAATCCGGCACAATTTAGAGCACAAAGGTTGAGATTACTGTGCGATTGAAGTGTGGCATAGAAATCTTTCCCTACATAGAATCGATTACTGGATCTCCAGGCCTGCTCCACTTTATGAATGAACAGTCACACTATTGCTATAGTTTTTCTGACGGGCTTTAATATTCAATTTAAATTGCTGATATATAATTATAGCTGCCTGACTTCTCGTAATGCTTGGTTTTATTTCATATTCACTTCAAATTTATATGGGGAATATAAAAGATATATCATTTAAATAAAGTCCGAGAGATACACTGCTTAGGTAATATGTAGTTTAAATGGGGGAATTCTGAAATGCATGAAATTGTTTTTAAGAGTCCCGCTTAAAATGCCTTTTTCTGCTTGTGACTAATAACGACACTTAACCCATTAAAAACATGTAGGGGATGAAATGGGAGATTCTTCCTGTAGACCTTCATAATGTCTCTCACACGATGCATTATATCACGTTACAACCTATTCCATCCATCCATTGTACAGCGTATCCTGGTCAGAGGCCTTCAGGGGGCTTGGAGCCAATCACAGGCAGTCCTGAGAACAAAGCAGGGGCGCATGCAGGATGGGATGCCAGCCCATTGCAGGGCAAGGGCACACAGTCACACTCCAAGGGCAGCTGAGGGACGCCAATTAACCCAACTGCATGACCCCCCCCACTACCACCACCGCAGAGGTGGGAGTCGGCCAAACTACCCACGGGTGTGCCACCCATTTCAGTCACTTCATCTCGAAATAAAAAGGATTTTGTCCTGCTTTTGCATAATTGACATTTAATATCACACTTTAAAATTTATAATATAGCACTTATATTTGCATTTTCTGCAAGAATAAAATGATCCTGATAAAAAAATGTAAAAAAAAACAATAATGATTTTCAAATGCATGCGGGCAGCAGGAGAAAATATGAGAGCACCAGTGTGGTCTGGTGAAGAAGGAACTGCTGCCGATAAACTGATGAATGAATGAGGCAGGGCTGAAGAATGGGGCACTGAGCAGACATCCAGAAGCTCAGGTCCGATGGACGGCTCACACGGCTAACGCAGGCTAACATGGGCTAACACAAGCTAACACAGGCTAACATGGGCTAACACAAGCTAACGCAGGCTAACATGGGCTAACACAAGCTAACGCAGGCTAACATGCACTAACACAGGCTCATGCACACCCTTACCTTGTCAACAATAAGCAGCAAAGAGAAGGGAGAGAGCTACAGTGAATAGGATTCATCAAATAATTATGTTAGACCTGAACTGTCTGATTTCCCCATCAATCCATCCATCCATCCATCCATCAAACCTTTAACCAGTCCTGGGGGATCTGAAGCCTATTGCCCATGCAATGGGGACACCTGATGCTGTCCCAGTCCATCACAGGATCCGATTTTGTTTTATTATTGAGAATGACATTGTTTTTGACAATTATTTTTAAAACTCCCTCTAATGCACAAACATTGGGACGTAGTGAAAAATGGTAAAGAAACTGTAAATGGTATGTGCCTCCTGTCTGCCTCTAATCCAATGTTCTTTTCCTTTTGGAAATGTCTTTACTTTTTGGGTGTGTTTTTTGTTATTTTAGCCTGAACATTGCAAGAGCTTGCGTCGTGCTCCACAGCTACGGCCAATGCCTCCAGATGCAAAACCTTGGAGTGCTCGACCTTGTCCTTCAGAATCCTGACCTTCAGCTTTGGCTCCCGAGCCCCCGCGGAGCACCCCCCGCACACCTCGGCACGCCAGGTCGGGTTGTAGCTGAAAGCCGTGCGCTGCAATCACGCGACACACTTTCCAGCGCCTAAACAAGTTACATGTGTCTTCTGCGACACCTTCTTAGAAAATTACAGGAAGGCCACTTGTGTTTTTTTTTTTTACTAAAGATGTGTATAATTTTATGCACAGTAATACACATTTAATTAATCTAGATTACTGAGTGAATAAAATAATGCATTAATGAACTGATTCACCAGAATGGCCAAGATGCTGCTAGGTAGCTAAATCTTCAGCAGAATAGTCAGATCTACACATCTATACACATATTGCACTATGTATATAAACCCTAGTGTCCACCCCCCTCACCCCTCTCTACCCCAACCTAGTTTTACACTATCCTGCATTTTTGCAGTTTACTGTAAGTATTGTGACAACCGTTCCCCTGTCATGCTGTTCTATGTTTAACTGTGGTTCTGTGGAGACATTGTTTTGCCCCAATGTATATCTGCATTTGGATTAGGACATGGATACCTGAGCAGGGGGCCCAGATATATAAGTAAAATTGGGTGGGGGTAGTCAAGGTTAAATTTTGTTGGGGGGCCTGAATTTCTTGCAAAGCCCCTGATATGGATGCCATGACAATATCGCCCATTTGCTGTGGAAAAGTCTCTGCGTTCCCCGCACTCTCATTTTCGGGATCCCCTCGGGAGGGGCCCTATTCCTGGATCCAGTACCCCCCTCCCTCCCGGAACCACCACTAACACGGGTCATGCGGCTTGGCCCGCAGATCCCCCGCTCCCTCGTTAAGCCCTTCCACCTCGGCCAACTGTGGGGTGGGTGCCCAGTGGGTGGGGGGTGGTTCCATATTGACAGTGCCCCCTGAATCTGGACCCATCCGTATTCATAAACCGGGGCTAAGTCTCGAAAAACATCCGCTTTTTTGCGAGCGGCTGACTCATGCATTTTGCATGGGCCAGTAAACAAACCGCGCCTTGGGGACAGAGGTTCACGCACCTCCCTCTCTGTGTCCTGCAGCTTCTCCTCCGTCGCTTTCAGGGTCATCTTCAGCTGCAGAATCACTTGATCCCGGCTGCTCACCTGATTATGGGAAATACACAGAAACAATAATAAAAAATAACACCAGCAAGTGAAAAAAAAAGGAAAAAGTTTCAGAGACACATAATTAATGTGTACAGGAAGCCATGAAACAGGTGACAATCCATTCGTAGGGGAGGCTTTACTGCACGGCCCTACCTGAGCTGAAGCCCAGCAGCCCCCCCTCTCAATCAACAAGCTTTACCTACAGAACCATTGCAGAAAATAGTAGGACAGCCTCTAACCATACCAACGTGTCTTAGCCCATGCGGTCCACGCAGAACAGTTCTCCGTACACTTCTGGACAGATTCAGAACCATTTTCTTTCTCAAGGTATATATTCTGAAGCACTTCATACCTGACATGATTTTGACACCACAATTTGTCCCCTAAGTGCCCCCCCCCCCCCACACACAGAGAGTGTGCCGCACATGTTCACCAACAATCTGTTAACAGTTTAGGCTCGGGAATGGAAAGTACGAAGCCGTCGCCGTGAGCAACCGGGCTGGGGCTTCCGCCGTCGTCCAGCAACCGGAGGGAAGCCGGATTCGACACGCAATAAACGGCGATGGGCGTTTTGAAAAAAAAAAAGCCCAAAAAGAACAAAAGGCTTCCCATGTCCTGCCCCGCGCTACCTCTTGTCGTGCCGTTCTCTGCTTCTCCATGACAACCGTCATCTCCTGTTCCAGCGTGGTCTTCTCGCCGCTCAGCCTGCTAATGTCCTGGGACTGCTCTTTTATTTGGGCTGTCAGCTGTACGGTCTCCTCCTTCAGCTTCTGCAGGAGATCTTCCCTGAGGAGTAACTGGAAGCAAGAAGAAATAAAAAAAAAGAAAAAAAAACAAGGATGCGAGACTCATTTTAAATCACTTAACCCCCATCTTCAAATAGTTTATCTGTTCTTCCTTGTGGCGGCACCTTAAATGTGAGCAAGAGAATCCGTTCTGTCAGAACGAGGCATGAATGAAACCGCTTTACAGAAGGGAAATTTAAATAAAATATACCCAAAATGAAAAATAAGTATACCTGACAACAAAGCCAAATCATAACTGAAATAGGTTCGGTCCATCTGTTCCCTAACACCGTAAAATTGAAAAATTTTGCATGTATTTTGACTATATGTGCATAAATGTGAAGTGCACTCTATGAAGTGTTTTTTATTTGTTTTAAACTTTTACTGCATGCATAACACTTCAGATAAAAACCGTATGAAGCGAGATACTTACCGCATTGTTACATTCAGAGTACTGCTTTTGGACGTCTAACAATTTCTTCTGCAACAATCCAAGTTTGTTGTCTCTTTTAGAAATCTGTAGATCACAAACAGAGAACCATGAGGTCTAAGTCAAACTTTGGGATGTAGTAGAGAAATGACAATGACATTTGAGGCTCTTGCATGTACAACACAATGTGGTTTCCTGATGTTCCAACATTTGGAACCTCACAACAGGCTGTCTGGTTTAAATGAAGGTATTTAAATGAAGGTTCCAAATACAAACACTCCTCATGTAGCGACCATTTGCATATACCTGTACTTGATAATAAAAATTTCACATTCAGACCAATGCGAGCTTTTACAACCAAATTTCATACCTGACAAATGGAATGTACAAAATATCGTTAAAAACGTCCACTTCATGAAGGATAAAAGGAAAGGATTAGGGAAGGCTGAAGTAAAGTCATAAATATGGTTGTGGTAAAACTTAGGCTACCATGATTTCCATTTAGTGGCTATTTTCCTTTATGATCAAGGGTGAGTTTCCCGAAGCCTGTTAAAAGATAGAACTTAAAAATGATGTAGCATTGAGAAGGCTTCGTGAAATTCACCTCTGGTCAATGGAAAAGAACTTGTCCGCTAAACGAGGAGTGTAGTAATAGAGAATAAAAAAAAACACCATTTATCATGGACATGAAAAGGCCCTTCAAGAACAAGACCTTAAGCTTGATACGTAACATAAAATTAAGCCAGCAAAATCCTGCAATAGCCTTTAATTGTAATAAATCAGAATATTTTTGTATAGATGTTGTTGACAATATAACCAGCATCTTTACATGCTGGGTGTTTATCCCTGGTTACATTAACATTTGCAGTCTTCTGATTTAGGAAAAGTAATGAAAAAAGAATCAAAAGAAATGGGAGATTTTTTTAAGCGATATTAGTTTCAATCAGCACACGGGGTGAATGAGCCATTTAGAAAGACCTCAGTGAAGTGGCTGTCTGCGCAACATGAAAAGCTCTTATGTTTCCCGGTCTTCTAAACACAGAAAAATGCATCCCTCCAATTCAGAATATCGAATGTCTTATGGAAAGTGAAAGGTCGTTTGTAACTGTCCATAGGATTGATGGAGTTAAGATAGCTCCTTGACCTTCACCCTGCACTCACGAAGAACGGTCTCAGATGACAGAGCATCGGGCAACTTTACACACGATCTCTGCATTTATTCCAAATTGCATCTCCTTCTGCCGAGCTCTACGCGCCGTGCGCGCGACTTAACGACGTGCAGTCCTGCTTCGTTAAACGGTGGGTCGTCATTCGACACCGTGCACTGAATGTTTGCGTTTTGCTTTAATTCAGCCTCTGCCGCCTGCTTTCGTCTGTCCTTTTAAACTTCCCCCCCCGATTGGAGAGCGATTGCTTTCGTGGCCTAGATAAACACTGTCAAGGTCAATCTCGACGTAGCAGCGTCAAAGTCGGGTCGTATGCCTATGGTCGAGTCGACGCACTGGGCTTAGTGACGCTAAGGGCCTCGTGCACCTGCTCCGAATCTCTGGACAGATGTCAGAATCAGAATCAGAATCAGCTTTATTGTCATTCAAACCACTTGACATGATAAGAACGAAACACAGTTTCTCAGGTCTCGGTGTGCGCAGTGTGGCTACTAAACAGTAAATATATAAAATAGCAGTAAAATACTAGAATAAAATATCCAAACTGGATATAAAATAGAATACATTAAAATAAAACCTCTGAAATAAAAAGGAGATGTACAATATTGCACATTCTTCTTTGTCATTGACAGCACACACAGGCTCATCCATGATTCGCAGCATGCCTGTTCACTGAAAAACATCTACAGCATCGATATCTTAAGACATAATGTTCCAGCTTAAGCTAGCATTTAATACCCTAATTAGGACTTCTTGACTAGCATAGGAAAGTCACAATGGACCAGAGTTTTCCAAATAATTCTAGGGTAAGATTTTAGTGGATCGACTGGTGCTTACCGTACACTATTTAGCCTGTGGCCCGATAAGCAGTTAATAGGGCCTGTGGGCTCATGGGCATGAATGGCTCATGAGGGAACAGTATCTGTGTATCTGTACTACATAATGTCTGTGTTTGTACATCTTATGCGTGCATAATGCTACAAGCCTGCACAAGTCCATTTACCAGACTCATCGTGGAGGAACTCCTCAGCAGTGACCCCGGACGTGCTCGGAAACCGACATTAAACTCTTGGGAAAGCCAGTGAAAATGGACCAAAACAAACGAGGAGCTGGAAGACAGGCGAAGCTCCCACTGAAAAGTGACACAATTCCCAAAGATCAGAGTAGCTTTGGATCCTGCTAGCATTAGCTGTCGCATTTAATCGGCATGCAGCTTCTGAGTGACTTTTCAGCATTTCTGTGACGATCAGCATGTTAGAGGTACATTAATTAGCACACGTTTTTGCCCAAAGTGACGTATAAGTGAGACAGACGATACATCATGTCAAGGAACCGACTTGGCATAAGTGGAACTAGACTGAGCTTCCAGTGAGTGACCAGTAACACATGTAAATTAGCATCGTCGCAAGAGCTATACAAGCTATACAAAACATTATAAGAATTGATCAGAAGAACTGTTCAAATAAAATATTATGAGGACTAGTTTCCTGTTAAGTAAGTGCAAAATACTCTAGAGTTTGCAAGAGAACATAAGCAAAGAATAGCCAATGAAGACAGAGCAGGTCAGTGATCTGAAGGCTAGCAGAGTTGTTCCTGGAAATGATGTCTTAAAAGTACGTACTTAAAAACATAGAGGAAACTTCAGTGGCATGCACGCTCATAAATGCATGTCTTTTTTCATTAAAACCAGCTCAGTGTTCAATACACATGAAGACCATGAATATTGTGGAAGACTCACATATTCACATAATGACTGCACGCATGGAGTATGTATTATATTCCAATAATATTTAGAAACAGCAAACATAATGAGTAATAAAGAATAGGGACAGGAGAAAGAAAGGGCAGTAACCAGCCAATATGAATTTCCTCAATATATAAGATGATCTGTAAATAAATGTAAATATACTGTAAAAACCCCATGACACTGAACAGTATAAGTGGTTTGAAGATGGATGGAAGATGGATGGAGGATGGATGGAGGATGGATGGAGGATGGATGACTGTCAATCCCTCTCTGCTCTATCTATGGTAGGAGAATCTGAACTGACAGGCATATATAACAAAAGGAACAAACAGAAGATAGGAGAGACATGGGAAATGGCTTTTAAGTGAAACTTCCTTGTGAGAGACAGGAGGGATGGATGGGGTCCTGCTAGACCCCACGCACTTTTACTCGTACCCTGAACGTAGATTTCTTCCTGTGTTGTAGGATCAGCACCTGAATGGACTGACAGGGGCGAACGTTGTCAGACAATGCTGCCCAAAGCCCCGCCCACTTTGTGGCAAAGGCTCCTGGGATGCCGTCGCTCTCAGCCAATGGATTCTGTCGTGGTGTCTGGCTGGCTGGGAGCCGATATGCAGCCAGAGCCATTGTCCCCTCCACGTCCTCCAAATGCACCGGCTTCACAGCACAGACTTATTTTTGGTGATGGGGGCTGGATGGGGGGGGGGGGGGGGCTGAAACATCCTGCCCCTCGACACTCTTCGTCTTATTAGAAACCCAGCAGCAATTAGAGCGTTTTTGTTTAAACCGAAACTGACCTCTGAGTTCCTTAACAGCCCGCTTTACAACAAAAGAATGAAAAAGAGAGCACCATCCGCGAGTCGACACAGCTACTCACGAACAATAAAGGGTCTTAATACGAAACTGCTAAGACTGTATTAAAATAAACTCGAGAAACGGCCTCGGCGGAAACGGCTCGACGTATTTGTTCAGCTGTGCTAATGTTAGGAAAGTTAAGAACAAACACTATTATTGCCCTACGCGTTCTTTTACAGGAAACAGACAGTGGCAAAAGCTACAGTAGTTCAACATATGAGATCAGAGAGATGGTTTTTACAGTAAACTGGATCCAGATGCTGGAAAAGACATGGGAAGCCGGCAAAAATTAATGGCTTTGTAAATCTTCAGATGAAAGGGAAGGGGACTGGCCAACACAGCTCACACTGTCTGCCATCTCCCCGATCCAATAAACGCGGGTTCAAACAGACGGCAGGTCTCACGCATGGAGCGAATATTACAGCTGAGTTCCGTCACAATCTCAAAGTTGCGGTCAAAAGCGCCACTTTATGCCTTTCGCTGTACCTGAAATTCATTTCATTTGAAAATGAAAAAGACTGCTGTACTGTATGAAAAAACATCTTTTGCCAAGCAAATCTAAAATACCAGAACAGTTTTCTGAGATCAAAAAACTTGCTTTTCTCCTAGTTATCGCAGAAGCTGCTTGCATAAGGCGCGGCTGCCTTTAATTTTAATGCACGCCAAGGCAAATAAGGAGCGCGAAAGACCAAAATTTAGACAGGACAGTGTGAAATTAGCGCAAAGGAAAGCGTGTTCTTCCAAACAGCATGTCCTGGGAATTCTTCATCACAGGGGGAAAGTAGGTTGGCAAAGAGATTTTTTTTATTTCATATAGAAAGGAAAAAAAGGCTTCCTTTGCTTTTTTACCTTACTGCCAGCTGCCTTCTTTGTGTTTCTCAGAGTTTCCGTTGCCCTACTTAGGGCCTCCTGCTGTTTTACAATTTGATCTTGCAGCTGTTGAGATTGTTCTGTCTTCTCCTGTAATTTGGACTTCAGTAGACAAACTTCTAAATCCAGGCTGTTCACTTTGGATTCACTCTCCTGCAGCTATGGTAGGAGGGAAGGCAATTACAGAAATTACAATTACAAGAATTACAATTGTAAAAATTACAATTACCAAAAAAAAAGCAATTACAATTACCGAAAGAGAAGCTGGGATCATGCCTATGTAAAACAAAACAAGGCCCATTCGGGTTAAAAACATTCACTTGGGAAGACATAGATAAGATAGATCTAAGCCCATTCATCCATATATCAGAACAAAATAAGTATTGACAAAATTACAGAAACTCGAGACACATTGTTGGAACTATTATAACAATAACAGATTACATTAGTCATTAAGTAATGCATTAGAGTTACACAGAAAGCCTGAAATGTAATATTGTTCCTGCCTATTATTAGTGTGTGGACATCTAAAGCAAACATTGTCAGCTCTAGTTGTTCATTGATTTGGGTACAATTACACAGAAAAGGCCCTGATCCAGAACAATTTTTCCCATAATACACCTGTATTGGTTCATTTGGCTTATTGGTTTGATGCTGCCCCTAACTATATATTGAAAAATACTCTGTAATTCTTCATTAGGCTACAATATAAATTTGAAGCCTGGCTGACTTCATGCAATCTAGGTGCGACACAAAGAGATGCCATATTGTTGGTGGCTATACAGTTGGCCATTATTTTCAAATTCAGCAGAACTCGCGTTATGATTTGCAAATGGTAGCGTGCCAGAAGATTACACTGCTGCATGTTCCTCGCCTCGGGCAGGGAAACAGAGCACACTGATTTGACAGATGGTTTTTAAAGGGAGATCACTTTCAAAGGTAGGCCTGTCATATTTTCTCATCGACATCAGCCACGGGCCCCCGGTAGACCAAGGCCTGAGACCCATGCGTCCCCAGAAGCTCCAGCGATAAGCTCAATTTCAAGGCTCATGGGTACAATAGCAGGGCCTGCGCTGAGATCCGGACACTCGGCTTCTTCAATGCATGACACGGGTCCAGCTAAATAATTCATTAAGCAAAAATGTCAATAGTAATCCAAAAAAACGTAACTCTAAGAACACAACGGTAATGTGGAATGCACTAATGTGCTTACCTTCAAATTCAGGCAAGACTATTACAAAAAATAAAGAAAAATAAAGAAAGAAAAGGCAAATGATTCCACAGGAAAATTAGCGACAATTATTCAAACTGCTCAAGGCAGGTAGCTACATTAATCCATTCTGGCATATGCGATAAATTATTTACGCAAACATGCAGAGCGGAACTGGCCTTTTTTTCGGAGCACTCTGCTGTTTCATTGTAACGTAAAGCCCAGCTGAAAATAAAAACACATGTAGCCGATCAGTGGGTCCACCGGCTGCCGACATTTCCCTCTCGAGCAAGGACACGTCCAGCCCCATCAGTAGGGACTCAGGAAAGTTATTCGAAAGAAAATTTAACACCAATTACATTCATCATTAGTATGCTTTGTTAATGTACTCATTTACTATTAAATAGCACTCATAAAAAGGTAAAACTACATTTTACATTTCCCGCTAAATGAAATTTAAATCAACCGAAATCCTTCATTTATGCACCGTGCCCAGCAAATCCTCAGCGTACCCGAAATGACCGCATTACAATATTGAATATCAGACGTAATAAACTCCACCGGACGATTAAAATGAAAGCGAGTCCCAGCGCCCCCATTTGCGATTTCATTAAAAAGTGAAATGTACCTTGTTTCTCCTGCACTCCAAGGCCCAGCTCGCGTCGGCACACTCCGGGGAGGGCCCCGTGTTAAAGCGCTCCTTCATTGTCAGTGTCCTTTTCAAAGACTCCTGTGTGGCTTTTGCTGAGGTCACATCCAGCTGCAAGTGCCGCGCACTTTCCCCACCTTCATTTATCTCAATTGGGGGGAAAAGAAAACAACTGTCGACCTATCGGCGAATTTGTAAAAAGGCTGTTTTTTTATTTTTTATTTTTCCCTGAGACAGATGCGACTGTAGTCACGCAAGATGTGGATAACAATAATGAAAAAGTGAAAAGCTGGAAAGGAACGTCGTTTTTACTCTGGTTTGTTTTATGCCATCAGAAGAAATGTGTAAACAGGGATCTGTGCAACTGGAATTTGAGAGGTTTCGATCATGTGAAGCCAAGGTTTGTGTCACACTGAAGCTGAGGTTTGTGTTACACGGAAGCTGAGGTTTGTGTCACACAGAAGCTGAGGTTTGTGTCACATGCAAGCTGAGATTTGTTTGCTCCAAAGCTGAGGTTTGTATCACCAGAACCTGAGGTTTATGTCACAGAGAAGCTGAGGTTTGTGTCCCCTGTAGCTGAAGTTTGTATAATCTGAAGCTGAGGCTTATGGCACACAGAAGCTGAGGTTTGTGTTCCATGAAGCTGAGATTTGTATCACCTGAAGCTGAAGTTTGCCTCAGGAGAAGCCGTGGTTTGCCTCATACAAAGCTGAAGTTTGCGTCATGTGATGCTGATCTTTGAATCACATGTAAGCTGAGATTTCCATCACATGCAAACCACAGATAAAGCACGCTGGCCATATCACTGAAGCATTTGCTTTAAAACAAAAAAAATAAAAAATCAGACTACCGTATCCTTGGCAGAGTGTAAACTCCACAATGAATGGCAACAAACAACAGAACGGGTAGCAGATGATGTTTATGAAAGCGGCTCAGTATACACAAACATGGACACGTGAACAAAGATGGCCATTCATACTTTACATGTCATACTGAAAGTGGGATACAGGGACCCATCAGCTACAAAAAAAACAAAATGCAAAGCCCCTAGATGGGAAATATCCCTGCAAGACAAAGGATTATGTGCTTGTAAAGTGTACCGAGAGGATTAAAATGTAAGAACGAGTGTTTACAAGCACAAACTGCATCGTGCCAGCATGCTAAAAACTTACATGTCAACGGTAGAATACCCAGATCATTAAAAATCAACAGGAACCCAAGGCATCGGAAAGTGGAATTCTCACTCAGAATGACAACTCATGGTGAACGAGAGACGGAAGATGGGGGGGTATCGCATTCTCCCCCATTAAACGAATACCTGTGGGAACAGTTCCAATAGCTTATTAAAGAGATTTGCCGGGGTATCTCTGTACCTCTGGCCATCTTTAAAGAGCGGCCTGTCAGGACACGTTTGGCCATTACTCGGCCGACACCGGGCAGAAGAGCGAAACGTCTCCTGTTATCTGATCAATCACGGGGCGAAGCATGCGACGGGCGCAAATGGGGATGCGACCGCTTCTCAGGCGGACCTGTGCAGTCCCTCACTCGGTTTAATTTGAATAACAACGTCTAAGAAAATGGAAGCACTGTGTCTGAAGGTTGTACCGGGGACACCCGGGCGTCCTCCTTTCTGCCTGCATGGGAAGGAAGCAGCCCGACAGCGGCATTCAGACATTAAGGCAGACATTATAACCGCAGTCCATATTATAAATCTGGGAATATCGCCCCCGCAGCCCTGGGTCTGAGGCAGACCCTGAAGATGCGTAAAATGTCATAGCCGAAGGGTGATGGTGTCAAAATATGGTTTTATTTTACCACACGGCAGTGAGAAATTCACCTTCTCCTCAGAAACAGAGGCCAGGAGAAATGCCAGACCGGCTAGTCGTGTCTCGTTTTTTCAGACAGGCACCGTGATAGATGGACATCTCAATAGAGATTTGAGAGGAACAAGGACCCAATCCCGCTTCATACCACAACCTTATAAATTCGATCCCCCTGAATCTCACATAAACTTACTAATATATTAAAAGGAATTCCAGATTATACTTAAAAAGTCAATGGATGCTACAGCTGAGACCACAGAGACATGATAAATAATTACTTTTAAAAAATCTGACGTGAAAGTGAGCTGGGTGTAAAGGGTGACACACAGCATGGGGAGTTTTCACCCTTTGCAGGTCAACGCTGGAGGGTAAACAAGGCAGAAGTCATTCATTTTAAACAGAAAACCATGGAACCATTCAGGCTTTATATAAAAATGAACGGCCATCGGACCCCGTGTACCAACCAGACCTGGGATGCTGGTTGAGGATTATCCAGGTCTCAGCCACCTGCGATGGCGCACTTCTATTCCAAAAAACAATCACATCCCTCGATGACTACAGAGTGTCCAAGTTTCCATTGGATTATTTAATGAAAGCCACAGTTTGGCCAAAATATATCACCATCATGTTTTTGCGTGTGCCACTGGATCACCTTCCAGTCGAGAGCCAGTTTTCGCCTTAAAGAAGCAAGCTGGGGGACAGTGACTTTAATTAATCGGTTAATTAATGGCCAGAGGGAGCTTGGCTGCCTTGTGTACTGCCTCCCGCTGCAGGGACAGTGACGGATGTTAAGTGTCCTTTGCAGACGCTGGTATTCCAGCAGCCGATTGTGAGTGAGGACATTTATTTGCCTTACTGTACCATCAGGAGCAGCCCATCAATCAAGGAGGGACAGCGAATTGTGGTGTGGTGTGGGGGGGGGGGGGTGAGAATAGAGTGGAGATGAAGATGGATTGCATAAACGCACCTCTGCAGATACTGTGGGGGGGGGGGGGCGAGAAAAATCATCGGCGGAGCTGCACACACAGCAGCTGCCAAGACGAGCGACGGAGGGAAAAGGACGCCATGGCAATTGATCCGCAAGAATAAGGCGAACCACCCCCAGAACGGGTGAACTTTTAATGCTCTGTTTGTCCGTCAAGCTAACCTCCACGCCGCGGCTGACGTGACGTGGCGCCCCCACACAAACACAAACCCCACACATCCACAGAGACCGGCTGCCCCGTAAAGCACCACGTGGACGTTATTAATATTTCACGAACGCAAATGGCGTGTCCTCTTCCAGCGTACGACATAAGCTCACCTCACTGACAGCATCTTTGCCTGAAACCTGTGACATTAAGCCCCTTTTCCAGTGAATGGACTGGCTGAAACTGTTTTAACTTCATTTCCCGCAAAAATGGGTTTTACCTCCTGAAGTAAATCTGTCAGCGATCTGCGATGCACATAAACCAAACAAGTTAAGCGATGATTAACTTTTCAATGACTCGACATTTTTTTTTTCTCATCAAAAAGGACTGTTTTCAACTAAATCCCGTATACTTAAACTTCAATGCAAAAGTGCTGTGACTGAAACTCAAATTGGGGTCACAGAAAGCCTTGAGTCTATCACAGAAACACAGAGGGAGGGGCAAGGCACACCCAGCCTTGGGTGGCAGCTCATCACGGGTACCGAATACCTACCTATAGCTAATAAGCGCCTCCATCTTTAATATCAGGTCACCATACCAGCTTTGCCTTTTCTGAGACCTGGGCCAGTGTTACTACCATTTATATTTTGTTTTTAATTTTCATATTATTTTCAATTTGAAATCCAGTTTAGTTTTAGTTTTTAGTACGGCTTTACCAGTTTCTGTTAGGTATTTTAAAAGATATTCCTGTTCAGTTTTTATATATTTTAGTTTGTCTAAGGTTTAATGATTTTATTTCTAAAAACAGAGTATAAGCTGTTATTTGTCTATTTTTATTTGTCCATATGATTTTCTGCGTGTTTTATGTGTATTTTATGTGGTAACAGAAAGTATTTGACATTGGTTTTTATTTTATTTCAGCCATGTTGAAGTGTTCTTTTTACATTTTATTTTTGTATTGTATCTTATTTTATTTCATTTTTACAAAAAATGTTTTAGCCTTTGTTAATGATAATAACCCTGGCTTGAACCATCTTCTCCCAATCCACCAGCCTATGTCATCACAGACAAACATCACCACGCTCCACACCGGACTCATCTCACAGACCAGAAGCATCAATAATCCAAATTCATAATCTCCCAGAATTAAAATGCACGAATAAACAGAGAACTGCTCCTACAGTCCAGGCAAAACAGAAAGACTGGTAAGTACATGTGAAATGCACAAAAAATCCAAATTATATATATATTTAAAAAAAAACTTAGCGAAATAATAAACGTTGTTCTTAATTAAACTGACGTAGCGACATGTGCCCTGTAGCATCAGATATCTCCACAACGTTAATGAGAACTGCTCACCGCAAAGAGACTGACTTGGTACAGGACTCGAACTGAGGAATGAAAATTAAAAAAAGTAATTGAACATGCCATCCTTAGGCATTCTGAAGGACACCTGAGAGAGACTTATCAGAAAAAAAACAGCAAACAAACAAGAAACATTTAAATCGGGAATATAAATTGGTGTTTTAATCATTTTTCTAAGAATAACTTTAAATACTTTCCTGTATCCATAATAATAATGTGCTTTTCTCTAATATCACTAAAGATAAATAAAATCATATTTATTCTTCTTTAACTATGAGTTGTAGGAAAGCAAGCAGGCAGCAGTGAATTCACTATTTATTGCAAGGATGTCTAGATGCTGAAAAAAGGACACAAAATGCCATTGAATAAAACCAATAAAATACTAAATAAATAATAATAAAATAATAAAGAGGGAATCTAACAGCTCTTTCTGACAAAATGGTACGTGCGCAACATTGCATAAGCTTGCCTGATAACTCCCTGATTCCACTGCATGACCACTCATCAAAATATCCATCTTAATGTTATTCATTAAATCGATAAATTCTGTTCTGGATTTGTTTACAGCGCTGTAAATGTTTTCTTTCAAATCACCGCATTTTACATGCTTTTATATTTTAAATGCACATTAAAAATTCCTCACCTTGGGCAATCTTTGTGAGACTGAATAAAATATACTGAAGTTCTGAAAAAGAACATTTATGCCCAGAAATAACACTTAAATTACACTTATTTTCATCAGCTGATCTGAGCACTTAATAGCAAGATGAAATCTTCACACTGGGTAGTGTGAGGTCAAAATGGACTGCATTCTCACCATGGCAACCTA